TATCGGTCTCTGGTTGGTTCTTTCTCACTGGGTCTAACATTCTGACTGGTGGATATTCCCATTAGACAGAAGACAGACCCAAAGACCAATTACCAAGGAAGGAAATGCAAGACTCTGAGAACAAATGAAACTGGCATACAAGGTTGGGCCTCTGACAAATTTTACTTCTTACCATGTGCCATTAAAGATGAGGGTAACTGCTGTACACTGTAGTGAGGGGGCGCCACCTAGTGTCCGTGTACAGTCATCCTTCAGGGAATCCACTGCCCTGTTCTCTTTCTTATTGTGGAGCATTCTTGTGGGAAGGTTATGGAGGAGAATTCCTGGTCCCAGAGAGAGCTAGGTTTAAACTTCATCTCTGTCACTGACTGAGTGACCTGGGGCAAATTACTTCTCTTCTGACCTTCCATTTAGCCTTACCTAAAATGAAAATGAGGCCTCTCAGAGATGTGGGGAGGATCTTGATGAAGCGCCCCACTATGACTGCAAACTGGGAATAATTAAGGGGCAGGGGAAAGAAGCATTGTCTGTAGTTCAATAGGCCTGGATTTGTTTTTTAAAAAACCAAAAAACTACTGTACACTTGCTGTGTACCAAAGGCATTGTTTGTTCGAGGGATGGAGATTTGGCAGTAAAATAAAACAGACAACATTCATGGTTTCATGCAGTTAATGGTATCTAGTATCTAGTATCCTAGATTTTGAGTCAATAATTCATTCATTTACAAATATGTTTCTGATACTATATGCTCCAGGAACTTCCTAAGCCATGACCACAGAAGTTATCCATTCTTGCTGGAGTCTATGGAGCAGAAGGGAGAGAGTTGAGAGGAACAGATCCAACTTGGTGGGGCCTAAAGCTTATACAACTTATTGTACTCCTTAAGAGAAAGAACATAACTGAGTATGTGGTGCATGTCTGAAATCCCAGGGGTTGGGGGTGGGGCACTGAGGCAGAAGGATCACAAGTTCAAGGCCAGCCTGGGCAACTTAGCAAGACCTTGCCTCAAAATAAAATTGAAAAGGTCAATGATAAAGCTTAGTGGTAGAGAGCTTGTCAGGCATGTTTCAAGCCAGGGTTCAATCCCCAGTCCCAGGGGAAAATATACAAAGTCACAAATACAAGGATTAAGTTAGGAAGAGAATTATTTTAGAATGAGAAAAATAACAAATTATGAATTTTTAAAAGCTTACAAATATCACAAACCTCATAACAATCCAGAAATGAAGCATCATATTTTACCAATAAACTGTGTGATATGGCTCTATAATATTTTTCTCTACATTTTTTGTTGTATATTTTTTGTTTTTCAGTCATACGCCAATGATCGTGTGATTGTGAGACCAGGGAGATAATTCAGTCTTTCTACCAGGTTGATTAACTTTTTAAGTGGGTATGTTAAACAACTCTTTAAGTTGTAAAGCTTAATGCCATGTAAATTTTTAGGATTATTTATCAAATTTGGGGAAAACTTCTTAGTTTTTTTATATACAACCTCTAAGTCTTACTGTACAGGGATTAATTTTAAATATTCTTTAAGTTGACAGCACATTAGGCAGTTCATTATTGATAATGCTTTATGCGTTGTATATCTTATTATAGTGCTGTTTTATGAGCTCTATATTTTATTAATCAATTGTATTTAATATAAAATAATAGGGAAAATAAAAAATTTTCCAATTCATTTATATGATTCATTGCTGTTTTACCAGGTGATCCAAGAGTCTATTCAGGATTTTGTTTCAAAGCACATATGTTCCTCTTAATGAATTATTACTTTTGTTATGATCTACAGGACATTTCTGCAATAGGCACCAGAAATCACTAAAGCAGATATACTAAGTAAGACATGACCCAATACAATGAGATCCTGCAACATGCACCTTCCCACATGGATGTACTAGCTTTTTATAGTAGTACCATATGTTTGTGCTCTACACACACAAGACTGATATCTTCTGGTTTGTGCAATTCCTGTGAGAAAGGAAGAAAAAACACAGAGTGCATTTATAACCATATATCCTGCACCACCAGAGATTTCAGGGAAAGCTGCTTAAACCAAGCTTCGATGAGAACCAAATCCTCTGTTTACACTTAATATGCCTGATGACTGGAAGAATTTTCAATAAAGTAGCTTCTGATTCTGTATGTTGTAAATATTGTTTCCTATTCCTGTGTGCATTATATGTATTTCTGAAGCTGAATACTAACAAAATTGATGGCTCTGCCTCTTCAGTCACATGGAAGGTTAGTCAGCTCAGGGGCAGTAGCCATGTTCCTGGAAGCCTTTCTGCACTGACATGGATAGCAATGACTTAAGCATACAAGGAAGTGACCATGGATCACATAAATAGATCTCTCTAAACTTAAACACACACTTAACTCTGCCTTAGCTGCATCCTTCAGGTAATTCATTGCCACCAACACAATGTGATAGATGGAGTGGAAAGAGATATCAATCTTAAAGGATCACAGTGAAATATCATTTCTGCAAAGTTTACAGAGACATATGGCCATGTGAACTCATTGGTATGTTTCTCCCAGCCCCTTAGATGAGTTCACAGAAAAAGGGTTGTGAAACCGAAGATTTATTATTCTTAAGGTAAATGCACCTATATGAAATGAAGCCATAATAGCAAGTATGGGGGAAGCCATATGGGGCCTTGTAGTTGTTGAGAGGGGGTTTAAGTCTTATTCAAAGAGCAACAGGAAGGCTTTAAAGGGGTTTTATAGAGAACGGTTGGGAGTATAATGATTTATTTCTTATTTTTTAAAAACCCCTCTGACTTCAGTAGAGAATGGGTTTTCAGGAGGCAAGTGACTTGAAAATGGCCACTTAAAAGGCTATTAGAGCTTTCCGAGGAGAGGGGTGGCTTGGGCTAGGGTGGAATGGGAAAGATAGTGAGAAGTAAAAGGATTAAAATCACTTTTTTTTTTTTTTTGGTACCAGGGATCTAACTCAGGACCTTGCGATTGCGAGGCAGGTGAAGTGCCACTGAGCTAAATTCCCGGCCCTAAAATCACTTTTGAAGATGGAATGATGGGCTTGCTGACAGATCGACATTAAAATAGATGTCTGTGTGAGTAGCCACTGAGACATCAACCTCTGAGGAGGAAAAATGGGAGCTAAACTTGAGTTTGAATACTGTCTTTACCATGTTCAGCTACACAACCTTGAGCAGGATGCTTTTCTTCTCTACACCCTTTCCCTATACCCAAAGAGGAAAAAGTCATCACGATTTTGTGAGGTTGTTTAAAAAGTGAAAGAGGCAGCCTACTAAAATGCCCAGCAAGCAGTTTGGACTTCTCAAAAACCTTAAATTGGATATCATTACTATTCCAAGATTTATTAGTATTTATTACAAAGCTAAAGGGGACAAATTGCCCTTGGAACCTTGTGCTCTGGTATGATTTTTCTCAGATCCTAGCAGTTGATTTCTGCTACTGAAAGCTGTGATATGCCAGGCTGGAAAATGTTTGCTGTCTCCCAAAAGGCTGGTCTTTTAAAAAATAACAAAAATGGCTAAATTTATTAAATACATATTAAATACATATTGTAAATTTATTAAATACATATTGTAGGCTCTGTACACGCTTCATGTCTTATTTATTTATTTATTTATTTATTTATTTATTTATTTATTTATTTTTGGTACCGGGGATCAACTCGGAACCTTGCGCTTGTAAGGCAGGCGGCAGAACCACTGACCTAAATCCCCGGTCCTTTGTCATTTATTTCTTGCAATACCCTGTGGCACAGGTACTTCTTTTAAGCTTTCCATTTTACAGATGAGAAAAACCGAGGTGGAGGAATTAAATAAGTTTCCCAGGGACCTCTAGCTAGTAAATGGAAGTGACTGGACTGCATCATAAGCATGTTGAGAGACAGGATGTAAGAATCACTTTTCACAGCGGGATATAGCTCCCAGGCAGGGTTCTTCTCTCGTTTCACAGGTGTCGGAGGCTGTTCCCAGAGGGCCCAGCAGAACACCCGAGTCTGTGCGCTGGGACTGGGCACCCCGCCCCTTACTCAGGGCTCTGCCCCATCCACCCAGCTCCTTGCCGTCCTTTCCCCTAGTCCCGCCCCCGTATCGCCCCGCCCCTCTCCACGGCCCGTTTAAACCACTCCTCACCTCACCCTCCCCACAGCCACCCGGCGGCGCTGGAGTTCTGTGCTTCGTTCCTGACGCGAGCTCGGTGACTCCTCACAGGTCGGGCTCTGGCGCTCCTCCCTTCAGACCCTGCGCTGATAGCAGGGCTCAGGCTGCGAGTCCGGGCCGGCCTCTAGGGCAGGAGGCAGGCTGGGTGATGGGACTGCAGGCACCCACATCCCCGCACGCGCCGCGCCCTGCTCCTCACGATCTCCTCAGCTCTCGGAGCCAGCCCCGAAGGCCAGGCCTGAGGGAGCCCTCGGGGGTCCCCTGGCGCGGTGTCAGACGGGTCCTTGGGGACGCCCCTCTGGCCTCAGTTTCCCTCTGAGGAGTTCGGCTGTGGAGGGAGCCTTTGCCCCTCACGGCCGCCACCCGATGTTCCCAGCCCTGGAAGCTCGCAGCTCCTCAGGTTCCTCGCCCTTCGCCCCCTGCTAGCCGCCCTTAAGGGTCTCGCCCTGCTGGCTATGCTCGCTCCCCGCGCTCCTCTCCGCGCCCGTGCGTCCCGCCTACTGCTCTGCGCCCCTTCCTCCCACCCTCACCTGCCATCCCGCACCCCCCCGGGTCTCCCCGTCCCTGGCTCCTATTTCCTGTCACATCCTTAGCTATCGGGTATTGACAGGAATGAGTGTGTGGCGGGGGGTGGGTTGGGGGGTGCTCAGGAAAATCAGGGTCTCGGGAATATTAAATTACAAGGTTTAGGATTTGGAGGTATTTGGGGGTGGATTTTCTCTTTCTATTTATGATACTTGGAAATTGAACCTAGGACCTTCACACTCAACTAAATCTTGAACTTTTTTTTTTTTTAATTTTGATATAGAGTCTCGCTAAATTGGCCAGGCTGGGCTAGAGCTTGTGATCCTCCTCCCAGAGTCTCCCAGAGTATCGGGATTGCAGGTGTGTGCCACCCTCCCTCTACGGATATTACACTAAAAGTACTCTCGCACACGGGGCGAGGAGCAATTTTAGAAGATAAATGGAATATTATTCCAAGATACCAAAACACATACACAGTGAAAGGAGGAAAGTGGAGCCAATGTAAGGCACAATGCACAAACTTCGGAATCTCTAGCTGTCCCACGGGGGAATGTGATTTGGTAAATTGCATAACCTTTACTTTGGGCATAATGATTTCATTCTTAGGGTGGAAATGGGCATTAATCAAAGTTCTCAGTTTTTAATTCTGCGGCTGACTTTGTTTCTGTGTTCATTTTGGCTCAATGTTGTTTTATCAAAAGTTTAAACAGAAGTTTGCATCCATAGTTTAAGATTACTTATATGTAAGCAATAATTTTATTCTTCTCTAGGGGTCAACCAAAGTACTATAAAACATCCTCTTAATTTGTAACTTCCTAATAAAGACTTAAAATGTTTTTTCAGTAGTACAATTTAAATGTACATTAATTTCTTTTTTAAAATGAAGATTTTTCTCTTACTATTCTTCAAAGAATTTAAAATTGTTTCTTGCTTCTTTTCGTGGTCTTCTGATTCTTTTCCTAGTTGCTTGGTTTTTCTCTTTTAGTTTTTGACTTTATAGTCATTTAGAATTCTGTTACTTTTAACTTCAAAAAGTATTATATTGCTAAATAAAGCAGAGCATCTTGAAGAGAACAATGAAATTCAACACTTGTATATAAATCAGTGATCCAATACTTCTCAAATTCCTGTTTCTTATTTCTTAATTTTTTCTACCTTTTCTTATTCTTTCCTATTTCTGATTCCTATTTTTCAGCCTTCCTTTTTTATTTATTTGAGCATATTCTGTTAAAGAGAATGCAAATCCTACATAGAATAAATAAAATTTAAGAGAGATCCTTTGTTAGGATCCATTTAAACCAGGTGTGGCTCACAGTCTGCTAGCACTCTGTCATTTGTTTATGATTTTATATTCTAAAGATTCTCTTTTTTGCAAGAAAATACTTTGAATTGAATAATATATTGAATTAGGAGATAATCTGAATGTTATAGAATTTAAAATTGTTGCCATAAAATAATACTGAAAGGTTTCTGTTACCAAGTTTTAAATATATTTTTGTGTTCTCTCTAGTTCATTAAACATAACTAAGGAATACAGGCAACATGTTCTACACCCATGTGGTTATGAGTAGGCGAGAGCCACTGGCCAAAATATGGCTTGCAGCCCACTGGGAGAAGAAACTCACAAAGGCCCATGTATTTGAATGTAATCTAGAGATAACTATTGAAAAAATTATTTCACCTAAGGTACGTTACTGATTACAATGATAATTTGTATTGCCATAACTTCTGGAAAGGAATTTAAATACATTTGTATCATTAAATAAATTTCCAAGGCAATTATACTTCTTAGATTATCTCTTTTAATTCCTTATACCAATTATTGTCCGAATGTAAATATATATTGGTTTCTGTTGGTAATTTGTTCATGTATTTATCATAAATAGATTGGAGCCTGAGGTATAAAGGCTATGTTTTATGTACATTTTGTTCTCTAACAAAATACTGTGTACATAGTAGGTGCCTAATAAATCTTCTTAGAAAACAATGAATGAATGGGGGTGGCAGAAAGAAAAGATTGATTTGAAACTTTAAACATAGCACATCATGAACAATAAAATACTGTGTTCATTATAAAACTATAAAGCAGCTGTTATAATTTACATTAAAATAGTATCTTAATATATTTGTAGGTTAAGTATTTGTCTCCTTGAGAGAAGGATGAATTATAATTGAAAAATTATTGTATGTTAGGCACTGGCCTAGACTTTATGTTTATTAATTTATTTAATCCTTCTTAAAGGTTCTTTGGCTTCTTTTAGCCTCAGTGAAGTGGTAGCATGAACTTTTAAGTTGATCAAATTTAAATTTAATCTTTGCTTCATCACTTAATAATTGCTGCTTTACTTTGGGGTTGCCACTTAATATATCTGAGTCTGGGTTTTTTTCTTCTGTGAGTAGACATTGTTGTCAAAGTTAAATAAATTAATGTACGAAAAGCTCTTAGGACAATGACTGGTACAAAACAAATTGTGGCCATTTTTATTAAACTGAAGTTCATGAAGGTTAAATCACTCAGGCTCAGAAACTGAATTAAGGCTTAAACCCCAGTCTGCCTGACTGCAGAATTTATATTTTTCCTGCAATATTTATAATAGCACAGTCACTTAAATACCACATTATATCATTTTTATGAAATAAGAAACAAAAGTTAATCATTTTACAAGGAGAGATAAAAGTTAAGTGGTTTACTTTAAGAATATGAAATGTCTGTTTTCAAAGAGAAGAAATTCTTATAATTTTAGTAACTTTCAAAGAACAGGATTTATGGACCTAATTTTTATTATTCTAATTTTAAAATTATTGAAAGGTAAAAATTGCACTTCGAACTTCAGGACACCTTCTTTTGGGAGTTGTTCGAATCTATGATAGGAAGGCAAAATATCTTTTGGCAGATTGCAGTGAAGCATTTCTTAAAATGAAGATGACATTCCGCCCAGGTACCCATGCAATGTTACTTTGTGTCATTCTTCTTGGTTCTGTTTTATATGTTTAGTTGGGTGGGGCCTTTCAATTGGCAGTAAATTGTAATCCAGGTTAATATAAACTTAATTTTGATTGAATCTAGGTTTTCATGGTTAAGGATAAATTATATCATTTTCCTTGCTCTTTTCTCTATATTTGCAGAAAAAGGTTTTGCCTTCTAAAAGTTGTAATGTTCCTATGTATTACATAAGAAATATGCTTAAAGCCACAATTGTGAGAAAACTCTAATATTACATTTTTAATGGATAGTTTTTGTCATATCTGTTTTGTCTTTATGAACAAAATTAGAAATAGTATAATTGATAAAACAAATATCAATAATTGCCATTGTTTTTATAATTCACAAGGCTTTAAGTTATGAAATATTCATACTGTTATGAAATACAATCAAAATACTTAGATATGCCAAAGTGCTAGAAATTTATGTCATAAATATAATGCTGTCAAAATATAATGTACATAGCATTTTTCCACTTTTAAGACATTCATCATTTTCTACCTTGGATCGTGGTCATTTAGAAACAAATCTTTCTGCTATCACTAATCTTCAGGATCCCTGCAGCCTGAATCCTCCATGACATCTTTGTCATGTCCACTTTCTGAATCTCTTACAGTACCTGTCTTGTTGCCTTGCCAATACTATTCCCTCAATCAACATTTGTTGAACCAAGATTGACAGGTTTTTTAATCTTTTTTACTTAAAAATATTTCTGCAATCTCTAGTTAGTTACACTCATATCAAGTAAAATTCATTTCTTCAATTATTATTTCATTTATATATTTCACAAATATTTATTGACCTTATATTTAGTGTCAAACATGATGATAGGCTCTGGAATACAAAGACAAACAAGGTAAATAAGGTCCCTTTCAGTTTGGTGAGAAAATCAGATAGTGAAAAAGTTTTTTAAAGTTATTACAATAATTATAGACTGTGTACTTGTGCTGTAAAGGCAAATAAAGAGCATTACAACAGAAAATAACAGAGAATTTTACTTTAGTTAGGGCAGTTGGGAAAAGCCTTTCTGAGCAGATAGAATTTAACTTGAAAAGTGAGAAGTATCCAGCCATTTAATAAGCTCCTCATGGAACAGCATAACAGGTGAAACTCCAAGAGCAAAGGTCTTTTGATGACAACCTGCTTGACTTTTTTAGGGAACAAAAGGGATAGTATGTCTAGAGTAAGTACAGTGAGTGAGGAGTAGAGTGTCCTCATATGATGCTTGGCTGGTAGGGCTAGAAAGGCCTAAGTTAGACATTTAATTTTATTGAAATATACTGGGGAATTTGCTAAAACATTTTATGGGAGGTATCTTATCAGTTTGCTTTTGGAAAATATTACTCTGTTTGTTTTATGGAGAATGGACTACAGAGGGACAGGAGTAGATAAGGGAAACCAAGGAAGTGGTCCAGTGAGAGAAAATAAAGATGTAATTGGGAGTTCTTACTTTATACTACATTGTTACTTATTAAATATGGTTTTTTATTCTTTTCAGGACTGGTTGACCTCCCAAAAGAGAGTTTTGAAGCAGCTTACAATGCTATTACATTACCAGAAGAGTTTCATGATTTTGACACCCATAATATAAAGTAAATTATTTTGTTTGCTTTTCTTCAGTTGGATTTTCTTGATATTTTATTGTTTTCCTATTCAGATTTCATGAAGGCAAATGGAATGTAGTTAACAACTGAACAAGTACACATACAGTTGACAGACTTAAATTTAATGTGAAATTCCAAAGTATGCCAACAGAAATGTATCATTATATTCATTGAATGTAATTTATAATAGTGTCAGCATATTAATCTGTCCATTCAGTAATTATTCATTGAGTGTTTTTCCTATGTCAGGCACTGTTCTAGGGATTGAGGAGATAGCAATTAATAAAACACAGCTCCTGGCCTCATAGATCATATACTTTAGTTGGAGTAGATTGACATTAAACAAACATGTAAATATACAATATGCCAGGAAATGACTAGATGATCAAATATGCAGAGAAGCAGAAAATAAATAATGAATGGTCAGGAAAGGATTTTCTGATAAGAACAGAAACCCAAAGGAGATAAAAGGAACCAATCATTCAATAATATGAGAGAAAACCGTTCTAGCTAGAGCAAGAGGAAAGGCCCTAATTCAGAGCTCATTGGATGCTTTTAAGGAAAAGCAAGGAGGCAAGTGAGACTGGAATGGAATGAAAGAGGGGCTTGAGTTGTAGAGAAATGAGATCAGAGAAGTAACAGGAGGTGGAGATGATGTAGGATATTGTAGGCTACAGTAAGACTTTTACTTAGAGAGGAAGCACAGCAGGGTTTGAATAGAGAAATTGCCAGATCTGGCTTGATTTCAACATCTTCTTCTGGCTTCTTACTATAAGGAGGAAGCAGGGAGCACCTGAGATTATTAGAGGTAAGAAGTCCAGATGAAAGAAGATAGTATCTGTGATCTGTTCTTACCTTCATTCTTATCAACGTGGTAGCAGTCAAATTATGGATATATGTGTAAATCAGAGCCAAGAGGGTTTGCTGATGAATTGAATGTATGACTCTAAGAAGTAAAGGGTGCCGTATGATTTTTAACATGAGAATGGAGTTACCACTTAATAAAATTAGGATCACTGGGGAATGACAACTTTAAGAAAGGGAGAGAGAAGGAAGTAAATCAGGTTTTGGAAATGACAGTTTCACACCTGTAATTGTCTGAATTGTGTGTTTTCCTAAATTCAGATGTTGAACCTTAATCCCCAAGGTGATCATATTTAGAGGTGGGGCCTTTGGATGATTTTTTTAGGTCATGGGGGCAGAGAATCCTCATGGATGGGATTAGTGCCCTTATAAAAGAGGCCTGAAAAACTTTCCACCACCTGAAAACCCTGCAAGAAGGTGCTGTCTGTGACGAACAGACCCTCAGCAGACACTGAGTCTGCTGGAGCCTTGATCTTAGACTGCCCAATCTCCAGAACTGTGTGCAGTGAAATACTGTTGTTTATAAATTTGCCAATTTAATTTATTTGTTATAGCTTCCCCAAAGGCTACAAAATTCAAAGTCAAGATGCTAGAAGAATCAGAAAGTGAGGATCTGCTTCCTGGCTTGTAGATGGCAGTCTTCTCACTGTCCTCACATGGTAGAAGGAACAATGCAGCATTTTGAGACCTGATTAAAGGCACTAATTTCATTTATAAAAGCAGAGCCCTCATGACCTAGTCACCTCCCAAAGCCCTCACCTTTTAATACCATTATATTGGTGATTAGATTTCAACTTATGAATTTGCGGGGAGGGCACAAACATTCAGCCATAGAAGGAGCAAACATCTATTTCAAATGCTGTTGGCTAGCATAAGTAAGGACTGAGAATGACCAATGGACCTAGCAATGTGGAGATTGTGTATATGTTAATAAATAGTACTATTGAGAAAATAAAAACTTCCTTTATTTGTATAATAAAATCTGCTTTTTGTTTTAGGCTTTTTCAGTATACTGTAAAATTATTATATTCTATTCATATGCTTTCCTCAATTTTACATTTCTCTGCAGTATGATTGACATTTCAGAGCACTTCACTCAGAACCAAAGCAGACCTGAAGAAATTACACTTAGAGAAGAGTATGGCAATGATCTACTTTTCCAAACCAAGAGCTTTGGTGAGGATTTTTGAAAAATCAAAATTACAAGTCATAATCAATTATATTTACATTTTTATATTGAAACAATACCAGTAGAAATATGTTTAGAATGAATATGTTTGTATAATGTAAATGTAATTCACCCAAATTTTTCTCTTCTATTTCTAGTATAGATGTTAATTCTAAGATATTTTTAGGATATAACTTCCTTCTCAGTATACAACCACTTATTGAATACTCTATTATACATCAGATTCTATCAGAAACACAGGCAGTACCAAAGTTTATGTTTGAAGGGTTTTCTTTCTTTGTTTTTTTTTGGTACTGGGGATTGAACTCGGGTCCTTGCACTTGCACAGCAGGCGGCCAAACCACTGAGCTAAATCCCGGGTCCCAGTACCAAAGTTTAAAAGAAGCAGTTCTTGCCTTCAAGGAGCTTCAGGCTGGGAGAGACACATACAAATGAATAGTTCGTATAGTTAACATTCAGACAAGGTTTTATATGTATGATACATAAAATACCTTTAAATATCATATTTCCTCCAGTATATGATGACTATCAGTTTCAAAATAACAGATTTTAAATCTGCTTGGGAGTGAGGAGGAAGAAATACTACCACACTAAATGTACAGATTAAGATTATAAAATAGAAACTGATTTTAAATGTTGAAATGTTTGGGCAAAGTGAGTGTACTTTAAAATTGAAGTGATATGGTATAATTCAACTCTATAGTGATCTTTTTTTCTGACATGTGCCGTTCTATATAGTGTCATGGCATTTATATACCTTCTGTGCTGGTCGACAAATTCCATAAGGGCTTGTCTGTGTCATGTTCATCTTTGAATTTCTACAGTGTCCAAAACAGTGAATGCAGGAGAAGGCTGACCTAAACTTGTCTTGGCTTGGGAGAGAGTCAAGGAAGTGATTTCAGATACATGTCTACCTCAACTTCTCGTCCTCCTTCCCTTTCTATAACCTTTGCTATCTATGATTTTGTTCCTCAAAACATCTGTGTTGAAGGACTGCTTTTATAATTTTTATCTATTTCCAATTTGTCTATATTATATTTTATTTTTGTATAAATTCAATGAGTCTCTAAAATTGAAAATGAATTAAAATTTCATTTTAGTTAAAATTAAAAACTTAAAATATCAGAATAAAACCTTAAGTTTTTATTAGTGTATATAAAATTACTCTTTCAAATTGCTATAAATCATTCTAAATATTTACTTCTACTTGATGTATTTACTTTATTATGGACCAGCACCAGTCCATAGACCACACTTTGACTAGAATGGATCTCTTAACCCCAGACCTAGAAATATAACACCTTGGCAAAGACATAATTGTAAACTCTGCTGGCCATGACACTCTTTACACTTTCCTGTAAAGTCTACTATTTTTCTTTATGCCTGAAACTTTAGGGCTGCTTTCAACTACATTTTCTCTTAACTTCATATTAGTGATGATCTTTTACAAAAAACCTGAAATGTCTCTTAGGTTTTCTATTTACACCAACACAGTTCACCAATACCACAGGCCTGGAGTACTGCACTATTCTTATGGAAATCTTGCTCCGTTTTCTTTCTACATTTCCCACATCTCTGCAAAAGCAACTGTCTTTATGGGCCAGGGATTTAGCTCAGTGGCACCACGTCTGCCTCGCAAGCGCAAGGTCCTGAGTTTGATTTCTGGAACCAAAAAAAAAAGAGCAACTGTCTTTAAATTACATTTTTTCATATCACATTCTTCTACTTAAGTACGCCGGTTTCCAATGATACTGCATCATACTCCACTGCCTATCTTCAAAGACCTCTTCCAATTGATCACCTTCTTTATTTTATCAACTGTATTTTGCTCTTTTTTTTTTTTTTTCAGTACTAGGGGTTGAAACTAGCATCTTTACACTGAGCTACATCCCTATCACTTGTCATTTTGAGATAGGGTCTCACAAAGACACTAACTTGCCCAGGCTGAGCTCTCGAATTTATGAATCTCCTGTCTCAGCCTCCCAGAATGCTGGGATTACAGATACACCCAGATTGTTTTACTCTTAATACAGACATTTTGCTATATTCAAGCAAGTGTCTTACAATCTAACCAGTACAATTTAGTTGTTCACATTTCTGTATCTTATATCATTCAAAAAAAGTGAGAACAAATTCTTCTGGTTTTGGGGGGTTTTTTGGTACCAGAAATCGAACTCAGGACCTTGCACTTTCGAGGTAGGCACAGTGCCACTGAGCTAAATCCCTGGCCCAGAATGAGTTTGTGGATCAATAGACCTAGGTTTGAATCAGAACTTTCTTTATTGCTTGCTGTTTGGTGCTTGGTAATTGTCAAAACTCTCTGAGCCTTACTGCACTATTTGTAAAGTTGAGATAACTTCTAGCAACATCATAGGTTGTTTCCTTTATTCTTGCCTTCAGTCCTCTCCACCAATATATAATTTTTTTCTTTTTCAAAAACAATCTCAGGGGCTGGGATTTGGCTCAGTGGTGCCACTGCCTGCCTTGCAAGCGCAAGGTCCTAAGTTCGATCCCCGGTACCAAAAAAAAAAAATCTCAAATTTACTTTTCTTTAAGAAATGTTTAATATTAACCCATCCTACTCTGTATTTCAATATAAAGTTGAAGGTAATGATTATTTATTTTCTATAATCTCAGATTTTTGTGGTGCTCAATGCTCAAAATATAGTATCTGTTCATATATGTTATTCTTTGACCAAGGCCGATTTTTCTGTTGGGAGGTATCAAACTGCACATAATAGGAACATATTCTTATTTTTTTAAAGTCACTTAATCTTTTATATTGATCAAATCTTTAATGTAGTGTTATTAAGCTTGCTCTTTTCAACTCTTCCTTTTTCAAAGATGTAGGTCTATTGAAGAATGCTCAATATGGGTGATGCATCATGATTTTTAAAAATGTAACCCTAAGATGGGTTATTGGAGGGAAAGGAACACCAACCTCTGACCTCTAGGGCTTCAGACTCCTGGACCTAAAGATTCAAACCCAAGAATGAAAAGAACCTAAGAGATATCAGTGTAACACAGTGACTATCAGAATATAGGATTTAAGTTAGAGAGAGCTAGGTTCAGATCCTGATTTTGTCATTTATTAGTGTGTGACTGTGTGCAAATAAATTACAAGATTAATTACAAAACCTTCTGTGATGTGTTTCCTCATTTTTACAATGAAGATCATCATATATCTTCTACTATATAATACATATAATACATTAATGCTACCTACCTATGTTTATCGTTTTTTGTTTACTAGCATATTCAATAAATATTTATTGGATGAATGTTGTAGCCTGATATTTAATATTTTACCTACCTTTCCATTTTCCTAAGAAGGCATATATACTCCTTATTTTCCTGACCCTTATGGACAAACCAATCCAGCAACTATGCTTGAAATTATATGAACTAATTAGTTGGTCAAGCAGAACTTGAATTACTTAACGTAGAGGAAATCATCTTATCGTCATAGTATTTCTGCCTTCTAGGAAAATATTAAATTATAACACATTTATAAACTTTAATGTTTTGGCTTTTTTTCTATTGTATTGGAAAGATCATTACACCATAGTGCTAATCTCTGCTGATTGAGTGACTTTAGTTGAATAATTTGAGTGATTTTTTTCAGCTTTCATTTTTCTTATGTATAAAATGAGGTGGATTTTCCTAGATAATATCTCAATTTCCTTCTAACCCTAAAACTACTTGTTTCTATGACTAACAGCATTAATGATATACATTTATTTAGGGGAAGAATCTGAAATTCTCCGAAGACATAGTTTGTTTGATGACAACATATTATTGAACTCCAGGGGTCATTTTATTGAACATAGTCCTGGAAATCTTATTGAAGAAAAATCTTTGTTCTATGACAGTGGAGATGGATTTGGAGATGAAGGAGCTGCAGGAGAAATGATTGGTATGCAGTTTGGTCATATCAAAATTAAATTTTTACTTCAATCAAATTATTACAATATATTGATATTTTTACATGAAACTAAAATTTCAGATATGCTTCTGTGTGATGTAGATCAATTCATTTTTTACACAAGTTTTAAAGGTCTATGATATATTTAGAGTATCCCTAGTAGCCATCTGTTTAAATATGTTTTCCGTAAAAGTTGGAAACTACTGCCCATTTTTATTTTTATAAAATCCTAAGTTTTAGAAGGAAACAGTGAGATTAGTATAGCTCTCACAAAATATATTACATTATATGTTGGAAAGTGTTTTCTTCTTTAACACTAGTTATAGGACTACTAAGGAATCTAGCATTTTATATTTGTGTTATAATTATAGAAATAGTGTAGACAAAAATAGGAAAACTGTGTATATTTTAAAGGTTGCTAACTGTCACATCAAATATTTATTTTTAAATTTTCTAGGTTACATCAAGTCTAGTTATCCCTTCACAATGCCTTACATAAAACAATGTTAATAAATATTATGTGAACAAATGACAGATTCAAGTTTATATGACAAAAATATGTATTGTGTTTTTCAAGACAATCTATTGCAAGATGATGAGAATATCCTGTTGGAAGATATGCATTTAAACAGAGAAATTTCCCTGCCTCCTGATCCTCCTAGTACAATAGTAGGTATGTTAAAGTTTTCCTTTGTGTAGAAAATGAACAGATATTTGTTTGAATTAAGCCTTAGAACTTCTATGTTTAAGTAGCAGTACAGTATAGTAAAAAATAAAGAACATTGACCCTCAAACTCTTTTAATCTGATTCTAGATAACATGGAATATGAAGTTGGTTTCTTTTGCCGTATGACTATTGATCCCAGGGTCTTTGCACTGAGCTATGTCCTCAGCTGACTGACTGATCAGTTGACCAAGTGAGTGAATGACAGGATAACTGATTGATGGACTGACTGACTGACTGAGCCAGAGTCTTGCTAAGTTGTCAGATAGCCCAGGTTGGGCTCAATCGCATGTTTCTCCTGTCTGAGCCTCCCACAGTACTGAGATTTAGGTTCTGAGAAAGGCACAATGAACAGTATTTTAACCAGGACTGCGTTTAGTATGACAGCATGTTTAAATACTTTACCCAAATACTGGATTGCTGAATCCTAAAAATAATGTATGTTGCATGGTAAAAAAAAAAAAAAAAGAAAGAAATGGTATTGTTTGACAATCTGTATGCAATCTGAGAGAAATTAAAAACATGGGGTATTTTCTCTACTTGAAATTTATACAAAAGTACTTCAGATGGTTTGAAGTCTTTTAGGATGCTTTTTCTTTAAAATTAAAAGTACAATTAGCTCTATTTTGATCTTCACAATTTTGATGTTCTAATTGGTTTCTAATGCAATAGTAGAAATTGAAAATGTGAGAAGAGTTAGGCAGTAAAATTTTATAGTTTGTTATATATAAGTCAATTGATGTGATTCAACAGAATATAAATATTTATCAATATACCAAATTTATATCAGTCATTTATTGTATTTGCTTCCACTGTTTTCAGTTCCACTGTGACTGTATCCCAGCCTTAGATGTCTTATGTGTGAAAGGGGTGATGATATTGACTTAACCAAATACTATGGTTCCCCTAATGTTTAACCTCTGAGTCTCTTCACCGTTATTAAATACATGATCCTAAGAACTCAAATATAGCACCAGTTAGCAATATAATCTTCAGTTAATGTTCACCTTAATTCTCATATACTCCTGCAGCTTAGAAATAATCATATGTTTTTATACTTACTTTAATGGCACCATTAATTTATAGAACCAGATAATCCAGATGGCATATGTCTACCTGAAAATGAAAAACTGGATGAAGCAACATTATTATCAAATGAAGAAGGAATATTTGCTCTTGAACCAACTGATGTTTCAGGTCAGAGGGATTCATGTTATTTTTATCTTTGATACACTCCTCACTTATTTACTTTAAGATATTTGAATAGTCAAAAAAATTATAGGAGATAATCAATCTAGTAATAGATTTTTCCCCCCATTAAGTTTATTGGTATATTTTAGGTATAAAATACATTTACATACAGCATTGGGATCTTGTACCATTACATGACTATCTTGGTTCTTATTTTTTTCCCCCTTCCCGTGCTCTCCCTTCACCCCCTCCACCCTTCCCTATTTGCAAAGACTTTGTTTCCATTTTTTTCCTTTTCTCATATTTTTTCTTTTCTCTTCTTTCCTTTCCCCTACCCCTCCCACTTCCCCTGCTCCTTTAGACCTTTACTTCCTATTACACAATATCAATTATACATTTTTAAAATTAAAATATCAAGACCTAGGAGACATTACCACAGATTTTACAGAATTTAAAAGGATATAGAAAGCATATTTCAAAAATCTGTTTTGAAATAAATTTGACAACTTCTAAGAAGTATCTTGGAAGACAAATTAATGAAACTAACTCTGGAGGAAATATAAAATTTGAATAGCACCTATTAACGAAAGTATATTCCTAGCTTGAAAACCTACCTGTATGACGATAACAGGCTCATATACATTTTAACTGATAAATTATATCAAACATTTAAAGCAGAAAAAGGAAGGAAAACTTCTCCCCTCATTTTAGGAAATCAACATTGTGCTAATCCTAAAACTGGATAAAGATAATAGAAGAAAAAAGCATGAACATAGATAGAAATTTGTTTAACAAAACAAACTATTAGAAGTCAGATCTGGCAGTATGTAGAAAGTGGTTTTGTTATAGGGATGGCAGTGTTGGTTCAGCATTGGAAGATCCACCCATAGATTTTTAGCACTGTAGGAGAAGAGTATGAAGAAATTTTGAGATAATTCTTTCATTGTATTCAATTCTGTTCAAGTCATATACACAAGTTTAGAAACTGGGAAATTTAAGAGTGGATTCAGTTCAAGAAGTTATTCAGTCCTTATTCTGTGGGCATAGAAATGAGGAAAACATGGTTCTTTCCTTTAAGAAGTTTTATGATCTAGACTTCCCCTCCAAACACTAGGAAATGCTAAAGCCTCACTGCATCCTCAGGAATGCTCACTGCAGGAAAGGGAAGGCACCCCCTGCCCCCCAGCCTGGACAGAGAGAAAATAAACAAATGAACAGGCCCTGAGAACTCCTGCAGATGAGCACTCCCATCTGCTGACTCCCAGAGATCCTTGCCTGCTCAAAAACATGCCCCTTGACTCCTGTGGACCTCAGCAGGTACACAGATGTGCCCATGGATTGCACCATAATGCCCAGGTGTGCGTGTGTGTGTGTGTGTGTGTGTGTGTGTGTGCGCGCGCGCGGCAGTAGTCCCTAAGTCAAACCCAGGGATAGCATCAGATTCTGCCTGCTGACTGGAGAGGAGAATTGTTCAGACGGGGTTAGCTCTGGTTTTGAATGCAAGGGAAAAGTGGGGAAATTGCTGTGGGTGCCTATAATCAGATCACAACTAAGGAAAGAAGGAAAGTGTGCGAATACTCAGGGTTTTTAGCAGAGTGGTCACATGGAAATCACATGCATGTTCTCTTTTTGGAGTATTTGATCTAGGTTCTTGCCAGACTTTTTTTTCCTTTGGTTTAAGTGGTGTTTATTTTCCTTCCCTCTTGTTTCCCTGTTTCATTTCTTCAACTCAAGCTTCTGTAGCAATAATTTTTCTTATTTTTTGTTTTCTTATTTTTCAAGATTTTTTTGCTATATTCTGCTCTCTCTCAATCATTCTAATCTTCTCTCACAATAACCTTCTGTCTTCTCTATTCTGTTACTTTTCTTCTCCCTTGTCTTACCTAGCCCTCTGCCTTCTCTTGACTATCTGTACTTTACAGGTGAATAAATATATGAACAAGTTCCAAAAACCTCATAGAGTTCCTCAATCCCAAAATACACTTTCTTCCTCCTACATCACATCCTTGCCCCAAAAAATATCTTCATAAAACACTAACCCTTCAATCCAACTAAAAGAATTCCAACAGAATCTTACCCTTTAATTTTTTCACCTATTATTATTTCTCCTGTTTATCTCTCCTCTTTTATCCATACCCTTCATCTCTTTTCTTTCCCTCTCCTTTTACATCATAGACTAACTTCTATGACAATAGAATATAAGCTGCAAAGTGTATTGATAAAGGGTGAAAATATAAATGCAAGATTTATCACATATAACTGGTATATGATCTGATCTGTGGATACTATCATAACCATTAGTAATTCTTTCCTGAAAACAGTGACAGGATTCAAAACACTTAAATTAAATAGCTGAAGACGTAAAGAAATCATATCATTGAAAGGGATTATCTAATTAAGAAGATCTTCATATCAACTACAATCTCTCACCCTACTCGACCTCAGCCCTTAACACAAACACACACACACACACACACACACACACACAAATATGAGAAAACAAGGTACCAAGACCCACAAAGTCTCCCAACTGTCCCAATGCAGGTCCAAGGGTATACCAATGGAGAGGAAAGCAAGTATCAGGTAGCAAAGCTTTATAAATTGATTAAAGAAGAGGTAAAAACACTTGATGAGTTCAAAGAGGACATGACCCAAAAATTCTTGTAATTATAAATATGAACAGCATGGATATGAGAAAGACAAAATATTGGAAGACCCAACCAAAATAGTTCAAAACATGAATGACAAATTTACCAAAGATATAAACTCCACCAAAAGTATCAGATAATAATATTGGAATATAAAAAAGTTGTATAGAATTCATAAATTGCAGAAATGGCCAATGTGAAGAGAGAGTTTCTGAAATTAAGGAAAAAAATGATACATTATGATGAATTACTCAGAGAAGCCTTAAAAATGATAAAAGAATGAAAAAAATTCATCCAACAGCTACCAGACAACACTAAGAATAACAGCCTAAGGCTAATTGGAATTAGAGAGAAACTAGAAGACAGCACACATGGAATAAAGAAATCATATTTACAGAAATCATAATAGAGGCCAGGGATTTACCTGGTGGCACAATGCTTGCTTGGCAAGCGCGAGGTCCTGAGTTTGATCCCCGGTACCAAAAAAAAGAAATCATAATAGAAAACTTCCCAAGTATGAGAAAAGAGTTCAACACAGGTAAATGAGGCTTATAGAACACCAAACATGATGAAAAAAGGAGCTACTCATGAAACATTTTAGTCAAAATACCAGATGCTCAATTTAAAAAGCAATTTTAAAAGCTTTCAGCCGAAAGCAAAACATTACTTATAAAGGTAAACCCATTAAGATTACAGCAGATTTCTCAACATAAACTTTAAAAGCCAGGAGAAGCGAAAAAAATGTCCGCCTGAGGAGACCCACAAGTTCTGTTGGGGGGACCGCAGCCCGCCTGGAGGAAAGCGGCCGTCGAGCCCGCCTACGCGCGGCCCGAGGGAACTTTCGCCGGAGGCTGGACCTGCCAGAAGTGGCCGAAGATGAACCCCCAACAGTGCATGGCCACGATAAGAACCGAGAAGGAGCTGAGCGACCTGCTAGACTTCAGTGGGAGGTTTTCCCCACCTGTTAATAGTGGGAAAACCAGACCAACGACACTGGGAAGCAGTCAGTTCAGTGGATCAGAACTGTGGATCAGAACTGAGAGGATGATGAAACACTTTCCACCTTTCTTTATGAAACCAGAATTAACCTGATTATGTAAACCAGACAAACAGTAAACAATAAAGGAAGGACAAAGGAAAAGAAAACTATGGACCAATTTACCTCATGAATATATTGCAGAAATCCTAAAAAAAAAAAAAAAAAAAAAGCAAATTAAATTCCACTGTTCATAAAAAGAAAATCATAATCAAAACAAACTACAGCTAACATCATACTTAATGGTGAAGGAATGAAAGTTTTCTTCCATGAACAAGAACAAAGCAAGAATGTCCACTCTTAATCTCTCTCCAGTTCAGTATTTTACTAGAAAATCCTGGTCAGCATTAATATGGCAACAAAAGGAAATAAAAGAGGAGGAAATTGGGAAAGAAGAAATAAAACTGTTTCCATTGACAGACAACATGATTGTCCCAAAGAAACTTCAAAAATCTAGAGTTTAGCAAGGTCACAGGATATAAAATATATACATACACACACCCATACCCATCCCAGTCTTAATTCTTTATACATTTGGCCCTCCATTTCTTCAGGTTCATTGTCTGCAGATTTAACCAACCATGGATTAAAAGTACGTGAAAAAAATTGTGGCTGAACTAAGCATGTGTCTGAACTAAGCCCTTTGTTGTCATATTCCATAGGGAATATAATATAATAATTATTTATATAGTGTTTACATTGTCTTAGGTATTATAATTAATATGGAGATGCTTTAAAATATACAAGAGGATGTGTATAGGTTGTATACATATACTATGCCATTTTTAAAGGAACTTGAGTATCTGTAGATTTTGGTATTTGTGGAATTTCCTGGAACCACTTTCTTGTAGATACTGAAAAACCACTGTCTAGCAATGTACAATAGGAACATGGAATAATAAGTACTATTTACAGTAGTTCCAAAGGAACAGATACTTAGGTATAAATATAACATACATGTACACTTGATCTGTATGCTGAAATCTAAATAGTACTGAAGGAAATCAAAACAGACCTAAATGTAGACATAGACTATGTTTATATAAAAACTGTCAGTCCTTCCCAATTTGATTTATAGATTTAATACAGTTCCAATAAAACTCTAGCAGTATATTTTATGGGCACAGGGAATCTGACATCAAAATTTAGATGGAAATGTAAAGAAATTAGAATATTTAAAAATTTTGGAAGAGAAGAATAAAATAAAAGGATTATACTTTGTGATTTTGATATAGTGTAATTTACAGAAAGTACTGCACTGTGAAGTGATACAAATGTATTCTCCCTTGCCCTCCCCTCTTTTGACTCCTTTCTGTATTTTG